TTTTTTTTTTTTTTTATGTGGAGTGTGCACACCTAGGTGTTAGATTCGAGTGTGTACACATCATTTTCCATTATAATTACATTGACTAATTTGGTGATCAAGAGATTATAGCTTCTTTTTTTTTGGTATTAACCCCATGTTATCCAAAAACCATATTGAACCTTAACCAATCTGTAGTTGAGTAGCATTGGACCCTATAAAGGAGATGCTCTCCCAGCAACTATTTCTACATTCACAAGGCTCGAACTTTAGACCTCACTTAAGAAAAATTGAGTTCCTTCCACTCAAACTAACAGATTGTTGGTGATTGCAGCTTTATTAGTTATTTATGAGAATTGTTTTAGTTATTCTTAATTAGTGGGAGAAGTTGATTTCTTTATCAATAATGAGCTTCTTCTTCTTTTTTTTTTTTTGGTACTAACCCTCGATATTTGGTAGCCACATTGGACCACAACTAATTCGGAGTTGAGTCACGTCAAACCTCATAAGGGGGAAGCTCTCCCAATGTCTGTTTCTCCATTCACAAGACTCAAACTTAAGATCTTACTTAAAAGGAATCGAGCTATTTCCACTTGGATAAACAAGTCGTTAGTGTCAATAATGAGCTTTATTTTGCTTATTGTATCATTATCATTTTATGATGATGCACATGTACTCTATTGATAATTTTTATGAGATCACACAAATATTGATATCGAGATCTCGACATATAAATCATAAAGGCTTCTTTAGAAGTGTATGAACGTTTTTGAAATGTAAAGGTTTTTCTTGAAAAGTTTGAGAGATCATCTCTTAGGATTTCATGAAACTAAAATAAAAGTTAAAAGGCTTATTGGGGGAAGTGTAAAAGAGACTATATCCTAATAAAGGGTTTTTTTGAAACCATAAAGAGACCTATTGTGGTTTTGACATGTTATATATTATATGAATCACGTTATATTAAACCACATTACTCTTTATCACACTTATGGAAATTAATGTTGATGAAGATATTTAATATTTATGATTGTGGGGGTCTTGTATTGACTAGTGATATAATGATCGCCACAGTCTAGTGTTGGTATTTTCATTAAACAGAATTTTGTACTAAGATTTTGATTTATATTTGTAGCTACTAAAGTTGTATTTGACTCAAGAGTCATTTTTAAAATATATTTTTCAAATCTTAAAATCAATTAGCATTGCCTAAGTAGGAGAATGCTAGAAAATTTTATGTAGGCTTTTGCTAATTATATTTGATTTTTAAAATTAGGTCAAATATAAAAATCAATAAAATCCAATAAAGTTATGTAATCAAAGTGAATTTAAGTTTTATCTTATATAGTGTGATATAAATAAATATATAGTCTAAAATTAAAAATAAGCTGCTTGATAAGAGTATCCGAAAGATTATTATAATTGATTATGTGCCTTCTTCCATTTAGAAAGCCTACCTCTATAAATGATAGAGTTAAGGAGCAATATGACCCGTTAGTTATTATTATACAAAAGTTGAATAGGGAGAGGGAAACTTGGTCTTAATATTAATCATATATATTTTGTAAATTTTACATGGGATTATCTAGATGATTCTTGTTAACAATCCTATCCTGTAAATTGATTATGGTGATTATAGAGATTAAGGTACATAATTTATTTATGGGTTTATCTATCATGTGTCCTTAGGGCATAGGATAAGAAGTAAGTAATAATTATAATTTTTTTTAAAAGAATGAAATTTTATATTAAAAAATAATTTTTAATTTTTAATTTAAAATTAACAAATCAAAATCTTACAGATGACATTTATAATTAAAATAAAAAAATTAACCTTATCATTTTCAAGACAAAAAGTGACAATTATTACATAATTAATACTCCTTATCCTATACCCTTAAGGTACTAGATATTTAATCCTGTATTTTTTTTTTTTTGAACATATTTTGCAAGGGGCGGGTTTCGAACCCTGCCCGGGAGGGGGGAATGCACCGGTGACTATTGCCACTAGGCCACAAGGGCCAAGTGCATTTAATCCTGTATTTATTTTCTTATATTTTGATATTTTAAATTTTACTTATGTCGAACACTTAAATTCTAACATCAAAATCATATATATTGCATTCAGAAATGCGGATATATATATGAGGTGTGTATTTTAAATGTTAATGCTCATTTTGGTCCCTCAACTTTATTGGTTTACACATTTTTGATCCCTAAAGAATTTTTTGCACATTTTTGATCCCTCAACTCTAAGAAATCGACAACGTTTGTCCTTTTGTCAATTTGGGCCGTTAACTCGGCCACGTGGCATTTTTTATATTTTTTTATTGCATGGCGAGGACAACTTAAAAGGGTGGTGATCTAGACTTTTTTTGATGACATGTCATCTTTCGACGCCAAAGCTCCTCTAATGGGTCCCATGTTGCCTGCAAACCACCAATAAAGAAAGGTCTGTGAACCCTAGAATGGTCTCTCATCTTCACTCTCTGCAAAAATCAATCTAACTCATATCTTCTTATTCTCTGAATGCTCTCTCATCTCCACTCCATCTGCAAAATCAATCTTAACCCATTTCTTCTTCTTCTCTGAATGCTCTCTCATCTTCACTCCATCTACAAAACGGATCTTAACCCATTTCTTCTTGTTCTCTTTTCTCGGGGGAACTTAAGAAATTGACCAAATGCAGGGAATTCATGATGAGATTTGCTCGAGTTGGGTTGCCTCTACTACTAGTGGACTGAGTCCTTACAAAATAATATGTTTATGAACCCTAGAATGCTCCAAAGGAGAATTTGGAATTCTTTGTCATTGAACCCAGCTACTGGGTTTCATTGAAGCCTCAAACCTAGTAGATCTTATCAAATCAAATTAACCCTTCAATAAACAATATTAATCAAACTCTAATCAAATTCCAACAAAAATACAATCAAACTCTAATCAAATTCCAATAAAAATGCAATCAAATTGTAAATCAACTCCCAATTTTATTAGCAACTGGGAATGGAAATTGAAAGAAGAATGAAAAAACATGAACCCAACGTCAAAATAGCAAGGCTGGTTTGCGTGACCAGCTATTTCCACCGACCCAAGGTAGGAAAGAAAGAAAGAGAAAGAAAGAAGGGGAAGAAGAGGGATTGGGAGGGTGAGGATAATAAGGTAATTTTATTTGTTTTTAATTAAAATATAAATATTAATCTACGTTGCATTTTTATTTATTTATATAACATAATTATAATATATATTATTGCCACATCATCAAAAAAATTAAAAGATAATGCCACATAAAATTATTTAACTATCACATCATACTTAACTGACAGAAAGACCAAAATTGTGCAATTTTTAGAGTCGAAAGATCAAAAAAGTGCAAAAAATTGTTGAGGGACCAAAAATATACATTTCATAAAGTTGAGGAACTAAATTTAGCATTTAACCTATTTTAAATATATGTATCTTAAAGTTTATTGTTTGCATTGAATAAAAAAATAAATTTAAACTACTTATATTTATGAACACATTGTTTAGATACATTAAAATATACTATCATGATGCTAAATAAAGACGAAACAGAGCAATTCAGCACTACCATCTTGCCTACTTTAAAAAGATAACTTATCAAGTTTCATACTCTCCTGCAAATTTCCCTCAATTAATCCACGGAGAACAACTTCACAATGCAAGAAACAATTTTATTGCTCCAGAAAACATAGTGCCACGGTTGTTTGTCCCTCTTAATTCTAAAAAAATCATAATAGCTAGGAATAGAGAAATGACCTGACATGGCCAACTACTATATAACTTTAACAGGTCCTGAGCTATAGCTAAATGTCAGCCACTATATCACCAGGGGCTCTAACAAAACTTGCTTGGAATAGCTCATCGTTGTGAATTCCTCCACTGCTCCATTAACAGCTTATTGCCCCATAACCGAACCTGAACACCCAATTCAGCCAAGGCAATCTGACCACACCAAACATTGTAAAACAAGGATACAAAGACTTCTTTATTTACCTTGAGTCGTTGAAAAGATCTCATGTGCTTTTCATATCACCTTCTCCAAATCATAGTGGCAGAGAAGTATTCATCAAGATCTCTAGGAGATAGATGAAGTAGTACTTATTGAGAAGCATAACCATTATGAGTATTGACAGCTTTCACAACAGAGTCAGCCTTCTGTTGCAGCTCCAGTTCAAGCTCTAGCGTCAGCTCTACTTCTCCCATGGATGGACGTTCCCTTGCCTTTTGATGTGAAGGCAACTATAAGTGATCTCCACAAATTTTACCAAACACTCAGGCGCTATTCTCCCTTGAAGCATTGTTTTTTTTTTTTTTTTTTTTGAACATATTTTGCAAGGGGCG